CAAATGGACAAGTGGTGAAACACAAAGCTCGATTGGTTGTCAAAGGCTTTCAGCAGAAGAAAGGGATTGATTTTGACGAGATCTTTGCACCAGTTGTCAAGATGACCTCAATTCGAGTCATACTTGGCTTGGCAGCAAGTATGAACCTGGAGCTTGAACAGATGGATGTGAAGACAGCTTTTCTTCACGGAGATTTGAAAGAAGAAATCTATATGCAACAACCAGAAGGTTTTGAGGTTTCAAGTGAGAACCTCGTGTGCAAGCTATCTAAAAGCTTGTATGGTCTGAAGCAAGCACCAAGGCAGTGGAATAAGAAGTTTGACTCATGCATGCAGAGTCAAGGTTACAAGAAGACTGTTGCAGATGAGTGTGTTTACATCAAGAGATACTCAAACGGGGCTTTCATAGTTCTTCTACTGTACGTCGACGACATGTTGATCGTTGGGAATGATGCAGAGAAGATAAGTGAGCTGAAGAAAGAACTTTCTAATTCTTTTGATATGAAAGATTTAGGAAAGGCTCAACAGATTCTTGGGATGCAGATTACTCGAGACCGAGAGAACGGCAAGTTATGGCTATCTCAAGAGAAGTACATTGAACGAGTACTTGAAAGATTCAATATGAGTGATGCCAAACCAGTGGGTATTCCACTTGCGAATCATTTCAAGTTAAGCAAAAGATCATGTCCCACATCCGAGGAAGAGGTGGGGGAGATGTCTGCAGTGCCATACTCTTCAGCAGTTGGAAGTTTGATGTACGCAATGGTATGTACTAGGCCAGATATTGCTCATGCAGTGGGTGTAGTGAGTCGTTTTCTTTCTAACCCCGGGAAGGAGCATTGGGAGGCAGTCAAATGGATTTTCAGATACTTGAAGGGTACTTCTAAGTTATGTCTTTGTTACGGGGGAGCTGATCCAATCTTGGAAGGATATACTGATGCTGATATGGCCGGAGATATTGATTGTCGAAAGTCTACTTCGGGTTATGTCTACACTTTTGCAGGGGGAGCCATTTCTTGGCAATCAAGATTGCAGAAGTGTGTTGCTTTATCCACAACAGAAGCTGAATATATTGTTGCCGCTGAAGCTGGTAAAGAAATGTTGTGGTTAAAGCGCTATCTCCATGAACTTGGGATCAAGCAAAAAGAGTACAAGGTATATTGTGATAGTCAAAGTGCTATTGACTTAAGCAAGAACTCTATGTACCATGCCCGCGCAAAGCATATTGATGTTCGGTATCACTGGATACGCGAGAAGATTGATCAACAGCTGTTGAAACTAGTGAAGATCAATACAAAAGAGAATCCATCAGATATGTTGACAAAAGTGGTTACACTGGACAAGCTTAAACTATGCAGAGACATAGTAGGAATGTTTGTTCAGAACTTGCATGGAAAGGGGAGAATTGAAAGTTCCATGCACCAAGTCCATCCACCAAACATTCAAGCACACCAATGAAGAAGAAGACTAGCCCTTCACCTACCATCCACCACCTTCCTCATTCACACACAATGGTGTGCTAATTTTTGTGCCTATAAATAGAGTGCTCATTTCATTCATTTGAATCATCCAAGAGTGTGATCAATCAACCTTGAGAGTGTTGAAACACAACCAAGAAGAGTTGTGGGAGAATTTGAGAGTTTTTTGTTTAGAGTTTGTAAATCTCTTATTTTTATTCTTGTGAGTAATAGAAACTTATTTTTCTCTCAATTATGTTTATGATCTTGGGATGATACCACAACATGCAGTTTAGAATTGTTAGGACAGTTAGCTGATTTGTTTAATGGGGTGCTGGTTTTTAGCCCATATATATATATATGGCACCCAGTTCCATAGACCAACCCCACATTAGGTCGACTTTTGTAACAACACACAGTTATTAGTTTATTATTTATTATTATTATTTTATTTATTATTATTTTTTTTTNGGCAACTCCATATTACATGAGTAGCAACTGGAATATTCTCTTACAAGTAGGAAAACTAAAACTACCTCAGCAGCTCAGCTACGTAAAACAGAGAAACTTGCAGAGACCTGATAGTATAAAGTGGTCACCCATCCGAACAAAAATCTGCGTATGTCCACACAGATTTCTGCATATATTAATATTACTCAAATAAGCTTCAAATACATTAATAAATACCGAGCTGTCCCCAATATATTTTCTACAAATCGAGGAACCTCACCAAAACAAAGAAAAGAAAAAGGAAACAATAAGAGCAAATGCATATATTCGAACTGCACAGCATCAAAAGGACAAAAGACTCAAATACATTATTTTTTTTTTTTCTTTTTGTTTCTCTTTTCTCAGCTACAAGACACACCATCAAAAAATTACTAGACACCAAAGATATACATGTTGACAAAAATAAAAGGGAAAAAAAAACCTCCATTTTTCCTCATTTCTCGATGCCCTGCTGTAAATACTGAATCAGATCGTAACCTGCGGTGGTCCATTTATTATAGGCATCATTGCAAATTCGGATCATGAAATTAGCTGCCTCACGATCGCTCATTTCCGGATGGAATCTCTTTCGAAGGTTCCCAATTGGGTCCCCTCTGCCGAAGCAAGGCAACCCACTGTCCATCATCATTAAGACCGTGTTTATGATCCCATCCATATAGCGGCGTGCAGCAAGGTAGCCCTTCACGCACAAGCTGCGCAAACAAAAGATAATATTATAAATTACTGGTTTTTATCTGAGCTACATTTTCATAGTGTGGTTTTTTTAGACACAACAAATAATAGTAGTTACTAAGGGTGTGATTGGATATGGATTTGATTTTTTGTTTTTTTTAACCATAGTTGATTTTAAAAAGGGTGGTATGGTTAGTTGTTAGTGAGAATTTAAGTTTGAATTAAAATATTATTTAAAAGAACAATTAAAGTTGATTTGATGTAAAAGTATGAGAAAAATGACTGAAAGTGATAGTTAAAATTATGTGAGTGGATGAATAGTGAACTAAAGTTGATGTGATGTGTAAATATGATTGGTTGATATTATTTAGTTATATTGGTAATATTGAAGATATTGGGGTTGGGTTAAAGTTGAGTTTTGATCGGTTTTTTTTTGGTTGAGTTTATAACCAATCACAACCTAAGAATTAAATTAGGGGAGCTATAGTATAACATCAATTGGAGAAAGATATCATAGAAGTATCGTGAGAAAGTAGAATCTTACCGTACGAATTGGTACCAAGTGTCGCTTTTCATTACCCCAGATGGATCGAGTAATTGGGTCATTTCATGACTCAGTTTGAAGTGCGCACTCTCGAATCGCATATTATTACCAGGCGAAGTTTCCAAAATAAAACCAAAATCAATATGGACAAGCCTGCCTACACTGCATTCACAAAAAGAGAATTCAAAATCTTAGACACTAGTTTGACATAATGTTCTGTCAGTTTCATACCCTAGGAAGAAAAAAAATGCAGGAACATAAACAAAATCACCACATAAATACCACCCTGAAAGGAGAAGTATTTACCTAGATCTCTGAGGTTTCTCATGGTCACAAGAAGTCTTTTAAATATTTTTTTGTCTTTTTCCTTTTTTTTTTAAATTGGAAGATGTTTGGGGGGGAGGTTGTTCTTCTTAACATATGCGTATAGTTAAGGGGTATTTGTAATTTTCAAAAGATGAGCTACCGTAGTTTTTGTAAATACCTCACAGTAAGTAGCTCATGCGAGAACCGAGAGTAAAATGCTTAACATATGACGTTACAATAGGCATCATGCAATGCAGAAGAGAAGAACAAAATCTAAATATTCTCGATCTGAAGAGCATAAAGGCTGTGGATACTGCTAGTGTTTCATAATAACAACTGAAGCATAAACATCTAGCTGTATCCAACAAACGAGCAAAAAAAAAAAAAAAATCTTGATATCAGAAGAGTCACGGCCCGGCTAAGCTACCCTATTATAGATATGCAAATAGCAAGCATTCAGCTGTAGCTTCTCACCCACAAATGATAATACGGTGTATAGAAATGCTTACTTGTCAAACAAAAGATTCCCGTTATGCCTATCCTTTGGTTGAAGCAAGAGGCTAGCAACTGCATATCCAGCACTGCTAATGAGGAAATTTTCACGAGCAGCTTCGAAGCTTGGGGAACCAACAGGCCCAAAGTCCTGCTGAAAAATCTCATAAAGACCACCATCAGTGGTCTCACCCATCTGGCTTCTGCTTCGTGAATTGGGCACCACCTGCCAAGCAGCGAAGATCAGATAGTCTCAAGTGGATTATTCAAGACAAAAAAAAAAAAAAAAAAAAAAAAAAAGATGCGCATTCAATATGGCCTACATCAAGGAGTTGTAAGAACCATTCCTCAGAGATTGGTGCGAACAGCTAATTCAATATACAAACATTCGATGCAGCATAAAGTGTACGACTTACCTAATAATATGCATAAGTTTAGTACATCAAATAACATGGCAACAACCAACACGTGATTCCATATTTAGGGATAACAATAAAGCAATTTTCTCAAAGACAAATATTTTTACTTTTGCAAAGATTTTGCAGCCGATTCAAGTTTTGTTGTTCAGTGGTATTCACTAAGCTAGCAATAACACAGCCAAGTCTCACAACTTAGTCAGTTATTTGATGAGTAATCCAATTGTAAAATCACCCAGACATAACAGAGAGAATTTACAAAGAATATAAATCCAAAAGACACATGGTGGAGATTAAATACATCGCAAAAGTTGAGATTAAAATTGTGAAAAAACAAACAGTATAGTAAAGATAATTTAATGGAAATCAAACGTGTGAGCGAGCTGATGAAGAAAAAAATTATGCAATCTAACAGATGCATTTACCTCAATAATGCCTCTCTCTGGTCCAGTTGGCAGTACTCCATAAGGAAACAAATAGAGATTAAGCCCAACGGCTTCAAAGATGTCCTTTAAAAGTGAAATAACTTGTAGAGCTAAAACATCTTGTCTGCAGTCATCTCCAACCTATATATAAATTAGCACTATGAGGCAATAATTTTTATGTTTGATGAGAAAAAATGAATTTTATATAAAAACCAACAAACATAAGAAAATAATTGAATGGCTTTCTTGGTCCCAAGAAAGTAGAGGAAATAGCCAAGATTTTACCTCACCTCCATCTGATACAAACCCAAATCATAGGATAGAACATGTGTGTGTGTGCGCGCACATTATATAAATACATCAGTAAACCATAAATAGGAGATAAGGAAAGTCTGCTATCCCAATCTCAATTGATTTTTGAAAGTCAAATTTTAACTCTGCAGCTTACTCATGCTCAGTAGATGATACAACAGTGCACATGCATTGAATATTACTTTTCAAACCCACTGGTTATTTGATAGTGAGATAATTTATTTTCCAGGTTAGAATGGCAAGATAAATCAGATGGTAGACAATGGTTCTAAGTTCTAATACATCAGTTGTTTAATATACACATTTACTCAATAGAAGTCAAATTTGCCTCCGCAGCTTACTCATGATCAGTAGATAATAAAACAGTGCCCACGCATTGAATATCACTTTTCAAAGCCGCTGGTTATTTGATAGTGAGGTATTTTATTTTCAAGGTTGCAATGGCAATTGGCAAGACAAATCAGACGGTAGCCAATGGTTCTACTTGAGTAAGGATAGAAGTTATCTGATGAAGAGGTCATCATCTAGAGAATGATTAGCACAAAGAAATATAAAGCTCTGAAGGTAGGTTGCACCAGTCCAAGGAAACTATAGCCAATGAAGAGTGTGTTTTCCCACATAATAATTAACACCAGAACTTGGGAGAGAATTCACGGTCACCCATCAAGCTCTTACACATAATGTAATAAGTTTCAAGAGGTCCTCTTAACCAAGCTGATAAATCTCAAAGGTAAGAACTATGCAGATTTAACTCTTCTATCCACACAAATAAGTGACCCAGGAACCCATGCCTAGGCCGATTCCCTCTTGTATTGAACTTCCTATTGCTCAGCTTGGGCTTGGTCAAGGTTTCCAAGTCCAAAGCCTCAGGCATCACATGGAAATTAACTGGAGGTGATAGACCTAGACGGACCGTATCGAGATAGTCTTTTTCCAAGTAAGTGTGAACTCCAAAGAAGAAAGGGGGGGAACTAGAGACTAGAGAGAAACTAAAACAAATTAATTTCATTCATCGTATCTGAATAGCCACAAGGACTGCCTTATTTATAGACTCGAAGACTAATATACTACTATAAACTAATAACCTAGCACTTAAGTACTAATTATTAATAAATATTACTAAAACCTAGGGTGTATCTAGTCATCTAATGTTCTATCTTCTGTGTAGCTAGTCATCTAATGTTGAATAATCATCTGTCGAAGATAATATGCCATACCTTGAATATACAAGCTTGGGGTTTTATATCTTTTGGATCCCCATCCCGGTCCACCACATTGAATGTGATCATTATAGGAACTTTTGCTGCTGATTGTAGAGGAATTCCACTATCAACCTGAATACCCCTGACAAGTTTTGTAGGAGCAGTAGGTAGATATAGGTCATCTCCATCCATTTCAATTTTCTCCAACTCCCTGTTTCAACATAATGATACAGTATCTCATAATCACAATTTTTTTAATGGAGAAATAGCAACTCAAGTATTAATTTGTATAATAACATAAGCCACAATCGTACACGAAATACCCTTTACAACTACCTTCTAATGCCAGCTCGTCTTTCCTCCTTTGGAAGTGGAAATAGAACACCAGATATGGATGTGACTTTGTCAAAGAAATCAAATTCTCTTTGGAAAATATCAAGTGCTTTAGAACTGAAACCATCAATAATACGTTGTCTGACAACCGGCAGTAGTGCTTGAAACGCACTACTCTGCAGAAGGAACAAGCAAATAGTTTAGGAAACTATTGTGAACCAATATGTGCAAAAAATAAAAGTAAAACAAAGGCGCTGAATAAGATTAACGTTAATTTAGAAATACAACGCATGTATAGAAATTGCTGCAGTTGAAGCACTACTCATGAGCACTGTTGATTCAGAAATTACTCTACAGCAACTAAATCAGGTTAAAATATGCAAGTTATAACATCAAGTGGATCTTTTTCAAAGAACTAAGAGCTTATTACAAAGGTTAAACAAAAAGCACGACTGCAGAAAACGTGCAAAAACTTACTTTGTTAAGTACATATTAGATTGGGTTCACAAAAATGGCATAGGAACAAATATGAAATATGAAAATATAAAATGCATGTCAGTTTTCCTATGGCACAGATAAAATTGATTATGTATAGAACGTATACCGTGGCAGATGGGGCGTCTTTCTCCAACTCAGGAACACAAGTCTCACCCTGCAAAAGCAACTATGTTATGCCTACTATAAAACAATATAACATTACATATTAAGCTGTATTAATATTTATTAAACAACCAAACAGCCCAATAAAATAAATTTCTTACCTGCAAATGCCATATCAATATATGGGCAAAAATATCACTTCTTTGTGCTGCTCTAAGTAAGTAACCCTCAACCAACCTCTGCAAAGGGGAGAGACCCAAAATGCAAAGAAAAATACATAACGTTGTCAGATGTAGAAGCAAAATTCTGATGGTGACAAAAATTGTTGAAGTTCATTTATCCTATTGGTTTGTTGGTTTAAAGAATATGTCGAGCAAAACTAATTTGCTTATATGGTAATGATAGGATTATCTGTATTTTCACGACTGAGGAACTAATTAATATCAACATCAGAAGTACAGCACACTGTTGAAATTATAGTATTAATTCATATTCCGTTTGTAAGATAGACTTATTTAGACAGCACGACTGTGGTAACAGAAAACAATATATACACATGTCAAACAAGAACCCACCCCTTCGTCGTATCTTAGTGCTTGTACCAACTGAGGCATGAAGAATGTCACTCTTTCAGGTGGATATGTCTCCAATACCCTGAGAACATAAGCCATCACTCGTGGGTGACCTTTATAAGCTGGAGTAAGAAATTCCAATGCTTGTGTAATTGAACAAGGTGCCCAGTGTGGCAATTGTTGCAAGAGTGTTGAATTTTCATCCACTGCTTTGGGGGTGACAAAATAAGGCAACGCTTCAGCAATGCTGCGGATCTCCAATATATGTGACTACAGGAAAATGAAAGCACAAGTCAAATTTTAAGGCAACGCTTCAGCAATGTTGCGGATCTCCAATAGATGTGACTACAGGAAAATGAAGCACAAGCCAAATTTGGCTAAATCTGAGTACTTAACTAAAGGAACTATAAAAACTATGATGTGAGAGAGTTAATTAAAGAAAACATAGCCGACAACAGTTAGTCGACTCATGCAAAAATGTAATATCAGAATTTACTCATACTACAGGCACAAATATTACGTGATCATGTAAGTTATAGCTTATGCCGATCAACAAAACAGCAAACAAGGCATGAACTAACAATCTCTTCTCCTACATCACAATTCACTTCCAATGTACGGGATTATCAAAAGTCTTACGCTGCCCTAGCAAGTTCACATTTTAGAAAAATAAACTTAATCAACATACTTGAACTAGTAGAGTGATTTCACTCTTCAGAGAAGCATTTGCCCGAAATCTTGCAGCCAGTGATAGAGCAATTCGGGGATCAACAGAAAAGGCAGTCCGTGCAAATTCGATCCATTTATCAGAACTAATTTTTAGCTTAGTAGCGTTCTCCCTGTATTAGGCATTAGACAGGAAGATTAAAATAAGATTTGACTCCATTCTAGAAAACAGAAAATAGATTTTCAGACAATAAATTAATTAAAGATGATTACTTCGATCCAACTGGTTGAGCCCAAACCTCGAGTCTGTCTGCCTCATGCTGGCACAGCATCAGCAGCAACTGTCTCCGCTTATCTCGTCCAACAACATAATTCTCCATCTGACCCCAGACTGGATGATATTGATCTTTCTGCAGAACATAAGAAACTTTTTTCTAGCTTCATTTACCCCCACAAAATAAATTTTGAAATAAGGAACGTGACAATAATATAGGAGCAGTGAACTGAAGCATCTCCTGAACTAAAATCCTACCACATCAGGTAAAGAGCCACCATTTTCAGTCCCTCGTGCTTTCTGATCAATCTGTGCTGTCTCTACACGCTCATTTAAAAGGTGTTGGACAAATAATGAAACCGACTGAGCTTCACTTTGAGCAAAATTATTGTTATTAAGATCAAACCACTCTGGTTCATGAGCAAACCATCCTAAGGAAGCCCTGTTTAAGCCAAGAGAACACATGCCAGATTACTCAGACCTCATATTCATCGAGTACTGGAATATAAGCGATAGATCTCAAAAATAGATTAAAGAACACCAAATCTTCTTTATTAGGGAAAAAAAAAAAAAGACTACGTAAGATCACTGAACTGCTAATCATGGAAGGTTCTCCAATATCAAAGTTGATCAGTGACATTAATAGCTGTGGAACGGATCACGGAACTCTGGTTCTGTAAATCAATGTGATTATTTTGCATTCATCCTTAACAATAATAATAGTAATGGCATTAGAATTTAGAAACTCAATTCTTGTGATTTGGTTTCCTGCATAAAATGAAATACCACACAATACACATTGATGAAACTTAAACAAAAATGATAATAATTAGATCAAAAGGACTAGCTAAAATAGCTTTTTTCTGCTGCTGTGCTGCATATATACGTAACTCAGTAACCACGCATAGCAAGCTCATATCAGTTTCATGTACAGGTTTCTGGACATAAACTATATGGACAACCCAATGGAAATTTTAAGTTCTCTCAAAAAATCTATTAATAATAAAGATAAATGATATGGAGTAAAGATGACCAAAATGTAAACTGTTTTTTCTTTTTTAAGGCGCCATACCTGTATATTCTATCTTCTAGCAACTGAAGCCCTGATCTGAAGTTCTTAAGGTTACCCTGTGTTTGACATGAGCACAATTTCAGGCCAAAAAGCATAAGGGTGAAGAAAGTTCCGGTAGCAGCCGGGTGCCTCGAAAAATTCCAGGGGAGTTTTGTCGTTCCTTGCAACATTCGACCAAGGAGCAAAAGCTGTTCAACACTATCGTGCCGAACGACCTGAAATGACAAGATTACAAAATTAAATGGACAGATGCATATATTACTTTGTGGTTATAAAATGAAGGATCAACAAGATAATTCACTACTGCTATAGACTGCAATAGTTTTCAACATTTTCAACTTCAAGCACAAACAATAGTAAGATTTAAGAAAGCAACATCAACTAACATTAGACATCAGAGTAAAAAAGCAATGCAGAAGCCAGCGATGCTGAATATAACATCCAATATTATATATGTGATATGCTTACTTCAAATCTATCAATAAAAAATCCAATCCATAGTCTATGAGCCATTATTTGTTCAACAGGATCCTTATCGGGTTGCGGCTCAGGCTCTCCAGGAGCAAGATGGGGCCGCAGCTTGGCAGATGGTCCAGAGCATCTTACATCAGATGCGAAAAGGCCCCGCTTTGTGTCTATTGTCCATAACCATGCATCTACTAGCTCAGCAAGGACAAGAGATCCCAATTGAGGAGCAGCAGAAACCAACCACGTCCAGATATACACACCGGTTTCAACAGCATCAGATGTGGATATATAAGCTGGACACCAGCAAAGAAGACGTAGAAGTTGTGAAAAGCTTTCAGAGTTCGATTTTAAATCTGAATCCTGAAAAAAAAATGTCATTGTAAAATAGAAAAACGCAAATATGTCATTTCAGCATACTAAAAAAGAAGAAAAAGAGATCCATTGTACCAGATTAGAAAGAAGCAATGCAGTAGCTTGAGAACAGATTTCACGAAAAGATGATTTGTCTACATCCTCTCCTTTCTCTGCAGTAGTGACAAACTTCTGAAGCAGCTTTACAAACTTGGAAATCAATATCTCATTGAAGGATTCATTCATGGGTTGTGATTTGGGAGAAGTCCCCAAAGCTGGAAGGTTAAGATTGAGACCATCGGTAGTTTGACTAAGGCCACCAATGCTCTCATATAATCTTCTCATGCCCGCAATTTCTCCAGCATGATTACACTTTGCAGTAGCACTGACCATTCCAGTACCAAGAACCTCCAAATTGAATGCATCAGTCAATTTCAGGTTTCCACCCGACGCTGCAGCAGCTGCAGCCATGACTGCAGGGATATTTGCAGTTTTAGTACCAGTCCAACAATCATTTTTACCTGTACCAATCCTTATCTCAGACAAAAGAGAAACCACATCGGCTGTAGGCTGTGTTCGCTGCCATGTATTAGCTTTGCAGAGGTTTTCCTGAATATTGTATGTATCAGAATAAGGGTAATAGACAAAATGCATATCAATATCATACAATGCTTTATTATGTTGCCACACATGCATAGCATGATGCAAGCTACAGCACCCAAATAGTAGATAAACAGAGACGAACAGAAAAGGCATAGTAAAAGCAATATAAGGGACTTTCAAAATATTGGACGAAATGCCGACCGGAAAGGCAATACACTCTGGCAGTAATTAATAAGACCAGAAGACAAATACATAGAAGGTGGAATAAAACTGTATGAAGTACAACACGGTTACATGGCCACTGGAAATCCACGAATCTAGTTTTATCCCACAGCCTATAATGGTAGAGCTGAGAAATTCAATTGCAACTGCCCCCCTATAGAATAAAATTAAATTGGCAACTCTCCTAAACTTGTCCTCCTCTATGGAAGTGGAGGGACTCACGTGATGATAGAACAGCAGACAACCAACATCATTTATATTTATGATCATGGAGAAGAAAAGCAAGACTCAACTATTGAAGGAAAGCTAAATCTCCTAAAAGAAAAAATACTAGAAATGAAGAAAATGTACAAGCAAATCATCCAATTAGAGAAGTAAATAAATGACAGAACAAGAAGGGTATGTAATATATAAATAGGGATAATAGGGAAGAACCTGAAGAAGGCCCTGACTAGTACATGGAGCATGTGAGAGTGAAACAACTATCCATTCCCGAACAATCTTTTGATATAAAGAGCGGACATTAGCAATATAAGCAGGATCACTAACTACAGCAGAGGGCGGATCATTATGCATTGAGAGTAGCAGGGAATCCAGACAAGAAGAATTCCATAATATCTGCAAGCCGCATACAACATTTATTGGTATCATTGGAGAGTGACACAAGCAGATGAATTACAAGACAACACAGAGCAATTTTACCTGAGGAAATTTATCTCTAAATTGAGTCAGCAAACTAACAGATATATCTCGTACATGCTCGTCCCTCTGGGACAAGTTTTTTATGAGGAAACAAGCATGTATAGAGAGAGTAGACTCTCTAACCTCAGCCTCTGGCCCAGTATCAGATGCCCGATCCTCCTGCCATGAGTGGCAGACTGTCATATTTGGTAATAAATCTCCAATGAAGATTGAATGCAAAAAGATAATAAGACTCATGGCAGACTGTCATATTTGGTAATAAATCTCCAATGAAGATTGAATGCAAAAAGATAATAAGACAATACAAAATGATATACCACATAGGGTTTGAACTAGATTACAAAATGTGAACGTTTTATCCAATACTTTTATAATATTGGTTTTATCCAATAATTGTATTTACTTTGAAATGAGAAATTGTTAAAAATAAGATAATCATTCTTGACTACATAAGAATGGTTAAACCCAGGGGAAAAGCCATTTCTTAATTTGGATTTTGGAGGATACAAATTCCCATAAAATGTATAACCCTACAATAAATTATAATGTGATATGAATGAGGAACCACGGAACACGCAGTCCCACATACCATTCCTCTTTTTTACCGTTTTAACATGTGTATGTTGCGGTAATCAACATAAAATGGGTTTCAGTTACAAATTAACATGGACTCAAGTTCAATTATAGGAAAGCATTATTACATGGGAAACAGTTGCAAAATTGAAATCTTCGTCCCCCCTAGATATCGACCAATACTTCGGAGTTATAAGACAAAAACATCATAGCAAACTAATACAGAACTCCACCAATGAGGCACCACAAGAAAACTATACAACAACAACAACAACATACCCAGTATATTCCCAACAGGTTGGGGTCTGGGGGTCAGTTGTACGCAGACCTTACCCTTGTAATTATACAAGGAGGTTGTTTCCGTAGCAACCCAAGGTGCATTGCGCCGTTTGATATATTTTTTTTTCTAGAAACTTCACTAATAGAAGAAGCACTAGAATTTAATTGAGCCATTTTGATCTAGTCCATTATTAACACTATGCCAGGAGAATTGTCAACAATGACTCTTCCAGCTCCATTTGCAATGGACACACTTATTATGCAAACTATAAATATAGAAAATATATTATGCAAAGGAGCTAACCAAATCTTGTCACACATGCATATATGAGTATGTCCACTTATTTAATCAAAGAACAAGAATGAAGGATGATGAGTAGAGTACCAGCCAGGATGTTGCAGTTTCAAATGATTGATGGACTATGGCAGTCAAACACTGGGACACAGCTAGCATGAGATTAGGACTTCTTAGGTATTCAAAAACACAGCTGAAAGCACTCCGGGAAGCAGTTAATTCTGGGCCTCCATTAAGAATACCACCATTGCTGCTAAATCGTATTATCTCCAAAAATGCTACAGCTAAAAGATAGGTTGCTTTCACACCTGCAGAAGGAATAAGAATGGAACCCATCGTTAAGTCTTGTACAAAAAGAACTAAAAGTACAAACTCCAATTAATTTGCCAAACATAGAGCCTTTAATCACCCAGTATAAAAAAATTAGACCTGAAATTGTACTCATTGCAGAAACCTCCACTCGCCCTCCCAAAGCAGCAGAGAGAGCAGTTCTTTGAGTCACAGCGGCTTTCTCATTTCCACTCCCACGCCGACTACCTGGGTTGTGAAGAGCATTAAGCTCCAACTCATCTTCAAGCCATTTGACAGAGCTCACAACCTGATCAGAAAACTTTGTCTCAGAACCATATAGTTATTATGCATTTGCACAAATCGGGCAAATATACAGTAACCAGGTCCTAAGAATATGCAAAGCTACCATTAACCTGATGTAAGATGCGTACATAAGAAAAATACTGGACATATTTGAAAGTAAATCATCCAAGTTATCCTGACAAGTTTTGCTGGTTTACAAGTAAAACAGAAGAGCAGTAACATTTCCATCGTTATTCCAAACAAAGAAAAAAGAAATGCCCCCATCTATTCAAATGACAAAGCAAACATCCAATAGAGCTGCACAGGCACATAATAATAACTGAGAAGTATACTCTATGTCAACTTACAAGAGGTGGGGTCCCTTGAGAAATTCGCTGAACAGCAGATGACCATAATGAATTCCACATGTATGGTCCGCCTACAGCTTGAAGAGCAATAGTACCCATGCTGCCAGCACTATTGAGGGCAGTTGAAACTGACTTTGCCGTAGTCTGAGTTTTCTGTATTGGAGGTGCTAACCCAAAGAGAGCAATATAGAACCACAAGTTCCGGAATAGCTTCAAGAGTGAAGGTTCCACATTTACGCCAGGCTCAAAGTCTGAACAAATTTCAGCCACAGCAGGTAAAAGAGGTCCAAGAAAATCTGCCCCACTCCTGATATATTGATTTCATCAATAAGAAAAACATCGCAGTCCAAAAATGAAATCTAACAAATTAACTTTGCTGAACGTTACCTTCCACTTTTTGATTCTGCAGCCAAGCCCACATCTGAGCACAGGGACAACAAGCGGTGACGGTAATCTGAACGCAATTTATTACAGGTAATACCTCTCGCAATCAATACAAATCCTGCAGGCAAGGTCTAGATTGATTGAAGCAGTGAGAAACCGTATCACAACATTCTGCTTGCTAAATTGCTACTCAGCAATGTGCTGCAAAGTTCAATTTTACCTCAATGCGTTCAGTTGTGGCTTCAGGTACTTGGGTTTTACTTTCAGCAGAGCCAACCGTAGAGAGCTTACCCAAGTAGCTACGAGTCATCAAAACTACAGCTTCACGGTAAGACTTCTCAAAACCTAAACTCGCCATGCGAGAAACAGCATCAAGAAGCTGCAGTAACACAAGGAAAAAAAAAATCAAGTTGAGCACACTGTGCAATAAATAAGAGCCTTGTATTTGGAACTTACCCAAGAATCATGCCTTTTAATAGAGAAATAATTAAACATAAGTAAATAAAATGGAGAAACTTGCAGATACATTATGCATTGATGAGATAACATACTCGGAGTCTCAATAAGCATGGGGTTGAAGCATCACCCTCTTCCAAACTCTCAATAAATAGTGGTAATATCATATCAACAACTTCAGGCTTCTTAAGAAAAATGTTCAACTCAGCTAGCAAATGTATTACATTCAACTGAACAGGTGGAGCTGCGGGTTTCTCTTTCCCTTCCTGAAAAGTAAAGGGGAATAAAAAAATCTAGAAAAAGGGCATTTACACTTGTGTCTCAAAATAATACAGACTAGAAATTGCCCATAGAGATTAAAGTAAATTGCAGTATTTGCAGATAATGGGGCACTAAATGCTATATGAGTGGCTAACAACACCTCAACCATCAATATGAAATCTGCATAATTTCAATTATATATCATCAGCATATTTGTTTACATCATTTGGATTAGTAACAATTTGAAGGAAGCAATCGAACACAACAACCAAATTCACAATTTCCACTAAAAGTATCCTCGCCCAAAAAGATATATATCACAAAGCTTTATCAAATTAACAAGGAAAAGCAAATATTTATTACTGATGCACAAAGACAAGCGGTGGGAAGTCATGTTTTTAAGTAAAAAAGAGATACAAACATAAATCTAAATATTTCGTCTGGACTACCTGATCACTGAGTTTAAGTTACGCTTGGTGATCCCAAAGTTCTAATGTGTTTACTGAAAAGGTTTTAACATAAATTGCAAGTGAGTAGAAATTTGTTGCTTCTCGGCAAAGTAAAATTATACGAATGTGAGGGCCAAGAAAAGCTAAGGTGGCAAAGTGTCAAATGAGAGTAATAATGATGATCATAATAGCTAATATATATACAAATTAAAAACCCCAAATGCAGCTATAATAACAAAGATCAAAAGCTATCAAATGCACTAACCTCTTCCTCATAATCATTTCTTTCTCGAATACTAGTGGCGAGTCCCATGATAAATGTGTCTACAGGAGATCGGTCCTTAGACCATCCAAAATCAATTATCTCACAGCATGTTTTCAAGATACTTTCGAACATGGAACCCAGGCTGCTGGAAGAAGTGTCCGCCTGTTCAGAGCAGATCACAAAAAACAATGCAATTAGTCCAACTCGGAATCACGGTATAATACTCACAAGAAAAGCACGAATACCTGAGCACAAGTAGCCAGCACAAGGGGTTTAAAACGAATGAGCAGAACTCTGAGGAGCTGACCGCCACGAGTGACGGCAGCTTGTGAAATTCCAGAAAGCAAACAGCCAAATAGCTCCTCACAGGCTCTCAGTTTGCGCCACACACAGAACAAGCATGCCTCGGCAGCCTCTATCAACAATGCGAGAGCTCCATGCAACAACCTCTTTGATGACTTTCCCTCCGTGTCAAGAGATGCCAGGGTCTTGATTTGCATCCTAGCAGCAGCTTGGTAAACAGACAGTTTTTTGTTGATCCTAACTTTCAGCAGCTGTCCTTGCTCGGACCATTCGCGCTTCCTTATCTGCTCACGCATAAACAACACATGAATTCATTACATAACAGTTCTTCCCAGATTTTTGCTAATTATCCCCGGTTCCCGATTTTCCCATACATAAAGCTGCTGATTTACCTTTAAGAAAGCGAGCATCGAATGGAGTTGATCTTTCGCTATTCCTCTCACCTGATCCATGAGCTGTTGATCGATAACCACCTTACTGAATATATGAGCTATAAGTTTAAAAACAATTTCTTGTCTCTCAAGACTCTCAATGGACTCTTCCTCAAATAATGTCACCATTTTCTTATAGGCCGAGCTACCGCCCCCAACACCACCCTCGCCATCATTGAGAGCAAGGCCAGCACCAAAAAACTCCCCGTTGCTTTTCCATGCAATGCTACTGCCACCATTCACCGAAACCCCCCTTGATGACGATGCATCATCCTTTGAAGCTGGGCTGCTGGACGAGTCTACTGAGACAATGCTGGCCTCAGCACTAGGAGACTGAAAGTGGTTCGCACTCAAGGGAGAGCTCTGAGAGGAAGCTGCATCGGGTGTGGACGAGATTAACTCCCTCGGCAAGCATGGTACCACGACATCGTACCGGTCCAGAAGAATGGCAATCAACTTGTTCGCATCGGGAGGCAGAATTGGAGGGAAATTCGAGCACAAAGCGTTCAAAAAAACCCGACAAACGCCAGACCCGGCATTGCTTATAGTCTGCATCACAACTTCTCCGGTGAAGCCCGCCACATCCGCTGCAAACTCCGGCGACAGCTCGGCCGCTTTCGAGATGTAACTGAGGAAATCGTTATAGAACGAAGAAATCGCCTCCACCGGAAACGCCTGCGGCCAGAATTTGACGTCGAAGGATGAAGGAATCGACCGGTAGAACGCGAGGATCAGCGACTTGGGGGCCTCCTGATCGGAACTCGGGCACTTCGAGAGGAAGCGCGCGACCGCGAGTACAGCGTGGAGCTGCGATCTCGAGACCACGGGCGATCCAACCAGCAGCGACTCCGCCGGCGGGCAGCGGCTGCAAATCCACGCGATTTTCTCGGGGAATTGAGCCGGGTTTTGAGCGATTAGATCACAGAGCTCCATCAACGACTCCATCGCGCGAAGGGGCTTCAATTCCGATCCGTTGATATTCTCCAAATTCGCCCCCTAAATTCTCATTGATCCGGACAGTAAACGGATAAATGTGTGTGAATTGGCGTGATCTCGAGGACGAGGTATGATGTTGTTAGGGTTCACGATAGGTGGGCGGTGGGCGCCAGGGCCTACGGCGGTGATCGGACGGCGTCGTGAGGTTGTTGTCGGTCTTCTTCTTCGCCCAGAGGGGTGCTGGGGTTGAGGGCACACATTACCGCGCCTCCATTTTTTCAGATCT